CTACTGGCTGCAGTGATGCTCTCTACCCACCTCATCCTCTGCCATCCCCTACTCCTTTTGCCTTCCATCTTTGCCAGCATCAGGGTCTTTTCCAAAGAGTCTTCTCTTTGCATTAGGTGGCCAAAGTATCTGAGCTTGAGCTTCAGTATCAATCCTTTATCAATATCAACAACTGCTCATTGGAAGGATTGATACAGAATGGGCTACTGATTCTCATATCCTTGGATAAGAGAACATTGGAGGAGAAGCATTGAATCTTGCCACATCTGTTTTATTCAGAACTGTGCCACTGAATTTAGTAAATGCAAATAAGTCTTCCAGGAAAGAATAATCTCCACTATTTGGATTTGGTTTTATAGACTGAGAAAGGTTGTACCCAGGTCTGATCTAGCCTCGGTCCATTGCATTCATTTTACAGGATATTTCTAACCCACTTTTCTTTCCCTATGAAATCCAAAAGGATAATCAGGGAGAAAAAAGGAAGCAGGGTCAGAATACCAGCCAATGTAACAACTCAGACAGAGGCAGTCAGTACCTTTTGTAAATAAGCAAACAAAGCAAATAAATAGAAATCAATTTAAGAGTCATGCTCCTAAAATATTAAGCTGTACCATATACCTAGGTTTGGCATGAATGAATTAAATACCAATTCATAGATAAGGTAATGACTTTTCAGTGATCCTTACAAATTCATTTTGAAACTGGTGTTATGAACACTTCAGAGTTATTGATGTATATCAAATAACATGTATACAGCTGCGTTCCTCTAAGGGGTTTAGCTGCCACAGAGGGTTCTTCCTTACTACTGTTGTTTTCACAACAACCTTATAGAATAAATTAGACCAAGAGATAGTCATTCATGAATAAACTTTTGAACCTTGGTGTCTGCAGTACTAGTTTAACATTCTAACACTGTACTATGCTAAATCAGAACTCTTTCTCTTTATCAATAAATTTAAAAAATGGCAAATATGGTTTCTTATATTTTGTCTGCAATGAACTGACTGTTCAGAAGTATATGCAAGGCCATGAGAGAGCATTAAGGCTCTAGGCCTAAGTTTCGTAAGCCACTTTCCCAGACTGGGGAAGGAGGCCCTATTGCAATGGTAAGAAACCTATCTGCCTTTCCAAAAATTATTTATTATTATTATGGTTGGTCGCATAGCCAGATGTTTAAACTGGATTTGACATTTTTATCTACCTATCAAGTCCTTCCCAAGGACCTGGGATAGGCAGATGTTGTTTGATGGTGTTAAAGGTATCACCGCAGGATATAAGCTGTTCCAAGTAAAGCTGCCTTTTGCAATTGACTGATGATGATTTTGTGACTGATGATGATTTAGGTGCTCCAGATGTTTTGCACCTAAGGCACCTATTACTATTGATACTATCTTTGCTTTCTTTTGCCATAGTTGTTCTACTTCTCTTTGCAGGTCTTTATATTTTGTGTTTTTCTCTAGTTCTTTCTCTTCTATTCTGCTCTCTCCAGGAATTGCAATGTCCACTATCCAGACTGTTTTGTCTTTCTTATCAACAGTTGTTAAGTCTGGGGTGTTGTGTGGCAGGTGCTTGTCTGTCTGAACTCTAAAGTCCTAGAGCATTTTGGCTTCTTCATTTTCTATTACTTTGTCTGTTTTGTGGTCCCATCAGTTTTTGCTTGCAGGCAAATGGCATTTCTTGCAGATATTCCAGTGCACTATTGTTACTACTTTGTCATGCCGTGGTTTGTAGTCAGTCTGTGTGATCTTCTTGCAGCAGCTAACTAGGTGGTCCACTGTTTCTTC